GTATCAACCCAATTGGTGGCTTGGCAAAAGGATACATCCCGCATATGTATGTACGTACAACAATGAGTTTTGGTGGTGCAATTATATATCAATGGAAGACTTAGGGGCATATACCAGATCTTTAAACACATATTTTCTATAATTCAATATTCCCCCTTAAAATGCATTCAAATTGCGAATCGATGGACATACAGTCACCGACAGAATTATGGAAAAAACAATAATTATGGAAAAAATAATTATGGAAAAAAACAAGGTTCGTAACTTTTCTATCATAGACAGGCGGCGCCTGTAAATTGAAACGTTTTTTTTTCTCCATAATTCTGTCGGTTCCTGTAATACTAAACACCCCGGGGTTGACTAGTTTTTAGTATTAGGGGGGGGAAACCCACAAATGGTAGGTTGATTTTAAATGGTTTTTTAAAGGGGATCAATTAAAAATCAAATTGGCCAATCTGAAATTTTCAAAAATTGGAGATGGACACTAGTTTTTAGTATTAGGAGGGGGCTTAGTAATAGGACGAGGGGATTACACCCCCAGTCCGGGCGATGGAAAACCATGGAAACCATCTGGAGACGAGGGCAGTTCAGACTGAACTGATCAAACTGTGGGGGTGAACCCCTAGGTCTCAACTTTGGACACCACCCCAAGTCCATGCAAAATCGGTAATCACTGAATGTATGTACAATATATACTATTATATACTATCAAATACTATCATATACTATTATATACTATCATATACTATTATATATACTATCATATACTATTATATATACTATTATATACTATTATACTCTATGTATACAATTATCTACAAACATAGTATATCGTCATATGTAACTATGAAGAATGGAGAAATTAAAATGGTTCACCAACCTGAATTATTTGAATTAAGGATATGTTGGGATTGTTACCTCTAGGGCCTCAGGAGTCTGGCAAAATCGCAAGGTCAGAAAAGGGTTCCATGTGAATCATCTCCACCTTCAGTGAGACTCACAGGGGTTGGTTTTCTATGGAAGATCCACAGGAAACATCAGGAAACCCTGCTTTTCTTCCCAAAAAGGCTTTAATGACGTGTTGCCACCCAATTCTGAGGCTTCACTTGTACGACTTATATAGGACTTGATTCTATTCTATTTATATATTAGCAGTCCGGTTGGCCTGTTTATCCATGAACTTCTGTTTTGGACCCTTTTAACCCTGGAACCATTTGGAACACGGCTGGAACGATTTGTAGCTTATTTATGGAAATTATTGAGAAGTCAATGGAGATCAGTCCCAGCTGCAAACGTGAAGACCAAATGGCACACGAGTAGAGCCACATCAGATATTCATCAGCGCAATATTATCAGCCCATAGACCCATAAATCCATAGACGCAACAATAATGCATTCATACATAATATATAGACTGGATATAGACTATCACGATTATATATGGGTATGAGTCAAAATTAGGTACCCCAAAATTATGGATGGTTAATACTAAACTAGACTAAAATCTGTGGTCCCCTAGGTCTTCCATTTTGACCCACATCCATATACACACATACACATACGCATTGTTTCCCTTGAAGCACTTGGGTCCTGCGAGGCTTCCATCATCCGCTCTGTGATGGCCTCACAGTTCTATCCGCCAGTTCTTTACATTTTCCCAGACGTGAACCTGTCGAGTTGTTTCATGTTGTTTCTGGGTGATTAGTTATGCTTGACCCTGGGTGATTAGTTGTGATTAGTTATGATTAATTTTTCAATGCGGATCTAATCATCATTAGTTTTGGATTCGTTTTTGAATGGGGATTTCATCAATTTACAATATATATATATATATGGTATTATAGGGTGTTTGACAATTTGGACACAAGATGGCACAAGACTTGTTCAGAAAAACAAAAAAAATCCATGAAACCGCTAAATCTCCATGAGCATCGCTCCAAAAGATGGAGGAATGATGGCCATCAACAGATGCCCGGGCTGACACTGGGCACACAGACTTGGGTATTGAACTGCACTTCCGCTTTGAAGCGCACCGTGTCCACACCTACCAGCTCTGTCCTTAGCGGCAGCACCTCAAGTTCCTTGTAGAAGGATGTAGAATGATGTAGACTAGAACAGCAAGAAGTATTGAGAATAGAATGCGGTTGTGCTGCTGCCAAACAACTGTGGTTTGATATGGTTTGATGGTATCATTTCTCATGTCAGTCTCCACTCTTCACATTCCTATCGGTTTCGAGGCATCAAACCAAGCGTGTCAGGAATCGTACTTGGGCCCTCCCACTTCACATCATAGACGTTCACCACCTTAGCCCAAGTGACCAGCATTCAGAAGTTGTTCTTCCAACCTAATCTGGTGTACCACTCACCACACTCTTGGCATCTCTTCGCTATGTCTGGCGTTGTGATCCATTTCTTGGGATTCAAGAACATCGAAACAGCCTATGCATCAGCAACCTTGTAAGTAAATATATGACATTCGATCCTGATGACTGAGAGTACAACAGTAATACATATGCTTCGTAACAAACTTTACAACCCACCTCTGAAAAGAAATCATGGTCGTGGGGTCTGAGCCCTTCTTGGCCACAGCATGTCACAGCATTCGATTGCAATTTCAACGGGTCTGAAGATGGGGAAAGAACCTCTGGTTGGTGGTTGAGCCACCCCTCTGAAAAATGTGAAAGTCAGTTGGGATGATTATTCCCAATATATGGAAAAATAAAAACATGTTCCAAGCCACCAACCAGATGATGATTCTTTGTTGGAATTGTGGGAATACTCAATTATTAGACAAACCCCAATGAAGTTGAGAATAAAGAATTTTGTTTGCAATATATAGCTTGACAATGGAGTGCTTATATACCTGGGGGGTCCAACTTGATGTGCGGCTTGGCAGATTCACAAATTTCGAAACACGCAAGGGACCCTTGCAGAATTTCCCTGCTAAACAGATCACTTTGGTGATTTTGTGATTTTATGTGGGTTTTCAATTGTTTGCCCCACCACACTGGCGCTGTCTTTTCCAACTTCTTGCCTCTTTTCTAGCAGTTCTGCTTGACATTGCCAATTGAGCTGCAAGCGTTATTTGGGATCAACGTGCCCTGCACCAGTTGGTCCCCCGCAATTGAATGGCCTGCCCCAGATCTCATCCAGATTCACTTTGATGGCTAAAGTGCCTCCATTTTTTGCAGGTTAAACATGTTGTTTTGAATGGTGTTTCCCCATTGAATGTGCCACCACCTTGAATGATTGATTAGTGACATACATAGATCCACCACTTCGCAAGACTGGGGCAATTGGATCTTGCATCCCAACCAGTGATTTATCTTGAGATCAACCGTTCAACTGGGAATAGCTATTCTATATGGGAAGTCCTAGACTCTGCCAACAAGACAATGCAAAGAAACACAACACTCCACTGGCATTCCATGATTGAAAACACCCGCAGGCATCGCAATCTTCCGAATGCCTTTTTTCAAAGCGGGAAGGTGGCGCAGGACAACATCAAGACGTGCAAAAAACGGGTGGCAACAAACATTGCCTTCAGGCGCAGTCGCCAACCAAAAAGCCGAGAGGAGCATCCGATACCATCAATGATATCTGGCAGTCTGCAAGGTGAGGGGTGTGCAACTCGTAAATCTTGGATTATGTGTGCTTAGATTGACCACAAAGTAGAGACTTTCCAAGGATACCACTTGAACATGGACTAAACCAACATAAAGTGTCTGAATATTCTAACCATCTACTACCAGACCCCAAAACACGATGGTTCTTTGGTAAATCATTGACCTAGATTGGCCATCTATACCAGTTCGCTACTGCCAGACCCATCTTTTTAAAAGGTGGCAATTTGATGGTCCAGCTGAATTGTACCGCTCAGTGATCTCTCAAACGCCTCGGTTTGGCTGTAGCGTACTAGGGATGAACAAGCCGGCCATCCTGCAGAGGTAACTATTGGGATTCCAATGAAACACTGAGACAAGAATGGGATTATGATGGGATAGACCTTCTACCAACTGGCGCAGGCTTTCACAACCGTCCACAGTATGTCTAATCTCTAGTCTCTTCGATGCGGTATCATCTGCAGGAATGTTGGCTAATTCTTTCATACCTTTTCATAGGCTGTCATATTCTTTCCCTGCAGAAGGCCTTCAGGGAATTTGTTTTTCTTCATGGGGACTTCAATCATCTGTGTTTTCACAGATCCTCAGTAAAGTACAGTGAAGAATCTGGAGGTCCGAATTCTTCTCCAGTTTGTCGTCCATCGTTTTTAAGGTTGAACTCAGCATTGATATCCCATCACCCACTGAACGGGACCTTCTGGCTCCTTGACCTTTCGCATGTTCCTGGGTGGCTCTGGAAAATGGAAAAGGCACATGGACACAAAGGGAATCTGAAAAAAAACATGAAACACAAATCATCAGACATCTCAGATATGTAACGCAAAGTTACTCTCTCAGACTCTCTCTCATACTACACATATTCAAATATAATACGTATAATATGTATTATACCGCGTATGACAATGTATGCATTTTTTGTGATGCCATTATAGCTTGATGCTACTTTCATATGAGCTACGACGCTACCAAGGCACACATCTCCACAGAGTCCGCGGTACAGAGCTCCAGCAAGCACACTGGGAGCGCCAATGGAACCCAGAATCAAGAACACCTCGAACCATGGGAGGTGACCGACGTCACAGAAACGTCACACGGTCCCTTCTGGAAAAGCCCATCATTTGTGCTTGAGCAGCAGCTGAAAAAACACAGGGAACCAGATTAAATTTCACGTGAAGTTTGCAATGCTAGGACTCAAATAAAGACATCATCAAATCAACAGCCAGCGCAAGTTGAACGGCAATGGACACAATGCACCCAATTCGTCGAGCTCATGTGTTTGTGGGGGGTTCTTGAAATCAGGCACTCTAAAACCATTGGTTTCCCCATCAAAAACCGCCAGTTTGGACGATCATAGGGTTTTGCATTTGAAGAAACCTCAGCCAATCATAGTCAAGGTGTCTTGCACTTCAATTCTTGTGGATCTTTTTCAGCCAAAGAGCCAAAGCCAGCGTGCGAGGATTGATGTCATCGTTGCCGACGCAGGGCACTTCTTCCGTTTTGGACCACTCAACCCAACCCCAAATCATCATACCCACCGACCTTGGATGCAGCGCTGTGCTCAGCTCGTTGCAGTGATCTTTGAAACAAGTCATGGCCTTTTTTAAAAGATTCTCGGTAAAACGACGTATTACTACTGTTTTTGTTGGTTAATATCTGTAAACATGAACCACATTTTATAGCAAACGTTTTGACGAATCCATACAAATCCAAGGTAAACCTCAGTTCCCCTTCGCAGTGCTGGTCCTGTAGGGAATGGGGGAATGCGATTATTGTGAAAATAGTGATGGATTGGGTCATTCCCCCATTTCCCATCCATTCCCTACGTTTATAGCACCAGTAAGTTTTACGACATTTGAATACATTTGATGTATGGCTGAGAATCTATCACATGGATGTACTTTCCAGGCAGCAGTGGATAAACAAGTCGAACCATGCTGGTTAGCATTCCGTTCTGGTACACCAACGCCACAGCAAGGGGCAAAGATCCTAAAGTGAGGGTTGCGCAGCACTTGATGTACTGTATCACCTTTGACCAGGGTTCAATTTATACAGGTGCATATGCCGTTCCCACGTACATTGAGTTCGAAGAATTCCGAAACCAAATAGTGCAATCCAAATCCCAACAACTAACATCAACAGATTAACAGCACCTCACCATCAACCAGGGGATTCTGTTGACCAGCCATCATGATTTATATCATAATCATTCAAAATCCGCCAAGCTGCACACATCCAGTGAGGATCTGTAAGCGCAAGGCCAACTTGAAGAGCATATGGTTCCCACCTAAAAGCATCTTGTGACGTGTCGTTTCCCAAGAAAAAATCTATGGCCTATGATTGGTATGACCTGGCGGAAGCCCAACCATTAAAGGGTATATACCATTGTCTATGTATGTAAATTATGCAATATGATATGAGTATATTATATATATATACAGTACATATTATAATTGTATATAATGGATTATACTAGGACATATGATGATATGATGGTATACCCTCTGCTCAATACTTTGCAACCTTTGTCAGCCATGGCCAAGCCATGCCCGGGTGCCCCATTCACGATGGAAAAAACTATGTTCCAAAATCCCAAACCACCAACCAGTTGTGATGAGTGATTGACACATCTGATTCATGATTGACAATGCTGTCATTATCATGAATGATTGATGAAACCCATTCCATCCGATCTTTCTCATCATTCTCTCCATGATTGTCCTTTAAAAGACGCCCATCCCCATGGCATTTTACACCAATCACCCCATTGAAATCCGCCAGCGGCCACTCCCTAGGTTTCCCAACAACATGCCGTCAGTGTGACGAGCACTTGGAAGACGATGCCGCAACACATAGGCACCAAACCGTACGTTCTCAACCACGCAGTGAAACTGGCGCATGGCGCATCTTGAAGTGGAGAAGGATGTGTATATGCTATGCCTCCTATATCCATATTAAAGTACATATTACATTTATATTTATATGCTATACATACAAATAATTGTATATATAATTATATATATATCATATGTACAGTACATGTACGCATAGTAATATTCAGATGAAGTGCCCTCCAAAAGTCAAAACTGACACCCTCATGTGGCACTGCCTTTCGTAGTTCTCACAGGTCTGCAGCACATTTGCTGCGCCCAAAAAGAAGAGCAAGGGAATCCAAAAGCAACAGCACCTCATTTGTTGGTTGGCAAATCGGGCCATCCACAGCTATGGCAAAACGGAGTACCAACGGGTGCAGAAATTGCTTTTATTCAATTTGTTTATAAAAGTTTAAACCATACCCACGTATTCCACCATAATCACTTTACTCCACTCTCAGAGTAAATTAGGTGAAAGAGCAGCAGGGTGAATGATTCAGGCTTCCTGATTTTATTCTGATTGTGTTGCCAATGTCATCATGCGCGCGGGCAAAAATCCAAACCTTGACATCGAATCTCTCCAAGGGTCCGGACTATGGGAAACCACATTCCGTCCCGTTTACTGTGACACCTCATTTTCCTTTGTATTTAAACCTTTGTATTTAAAACAGCTGTTCGCATTGGGAATGATCCGACCGGGACCAAAGCCATGGAATCCCATGGACACATCCAAATCGCAAGCAAGGCACGCTGGGGCGCAGAAGGAGACGCAAAGAATGATTGGGGCACCTTTCTTTTGCTCCTGAAATCAATGGCATGCCGTGGCAGAGCACAGCTTTGGCAGCTGGCAGGCACATATTTTGGCCTCTGAAAAACACATGATGTGTGGGGTTGGGGGAAAACTGTCAACCTGACACTTACAATTATATACATACTCGAAATCAACATAATATATCATAATCATATTATATCATAATATACAAGTATTATAATATCAGAATCCCAATGTTCTTTAAGCATTTTGGGTATGGAAATTTCTGAGCGAAAACTGGAATTTCCCCAGTTTGAACTGCAACGGCTGACTACCAAACATGGCGAAAAATTCATCAATCCCTACACCTGGGTGTGGTGATCAATCCATAGGGGTGTCCTTCCCCTTTTCAAGATTATCATGGCATGGCATGGCTGGTTTAATGGGATTTTATGGTGCTTTAATGGTGATTAATGCTGGTTTAATGGCATTTAATGGGAATTTTAATGGCATCTGGTTGGTGGTTTTTAGCCACCCCTCTGAAAAATGATGGAGTGAGTAACAGTTGGGATGATGAAATTCCCAATATGATGGGAAAGTCATAAAATTCAGGTTCCAAACTACCGACCAGGTACATCTTTTTTCGTTGGTGGATATCCCACGTGATATCCCCATGAAATCACCATGTTCTTCGTGAAATCCCCATGTCTTTGCCCTGCCGTTCGCCTCAATGAGTTGGTCCGTTGGGATTCTCTTCATCGAAGTCGCCATGGGGCTGGGCCGTCAAGTTCTTGGAGCTTACGCGTTGTCTCGCTGGCCAAATGCTACGGCATGAAGAGAAAGGGATCTGATATGATCTGATGGGTGCAAGAACTTCTTCTTATCTTCTGGATTCTTGAGAGATGCAACATATGCTGCATTTACTCAGAACGGCAGGGTTTGTCTGAAAATATGGAATACCGATGAATAGTATGTTTTAATCAGTTTTTCATGGCACACAAATGATGATTCACCAATTTACCAGTGGATTGAAGGATAGACCATCTCCAAAAAGTGGCCGATGCTTCCCTGAATCACGGCTGGCAACTTCAAAAATTTTGGGGGTTGTCGGGTTGTCTCAAGAATCTAGATCCTATTATCGTATTTGCTGCTTTTTTTTCGGGTTTATCGTCGCTTTCCCCATGAACATTGCCATTTGTGGGGGATTCCTAAAATAGTGGTACCCCAAAAAACGTCCATTTCCGGATTGAACATTGAAAGCCATGTATTTAAGGAACCCCATGGTATATCACAGTATATCCGTATATATCCCCATTTGCAGATAGATTTCCAAAATTTGACCGTTTATAGGATAAAATGCCCATTTATAGGATGTGTCCCAGCCATGTTTCATTGTTGGAGGGTACTAATTTCAAGACCAATCTGATAAAACCGCAATGGGCCCCCCGCTGCAGCATGAGCTTCCAAGGTTTCGATCAAGGACTAGGGGCAGCATGGCTGATTTCACCAGATCTGATACAGCCAAGCATTGAGGATCAGAACCACTACACTGGTAACGGGATTGAATTCAATCAACCAATTAATGCTGCTGTGGCAACCAACCTTGTTTCTGCTCACGCAGCTTTCTTGGTCAAATCTATCACGTTGTGTATATGTTGTTGTCCCAAAACTCAGATCGAAAAGCATCTAGAATCCCTAACTTGGAAAATCACCGAGGAGCTGCTCATCATATTACCTGACGCCCACCATCCAGCACCAACACCTTCCAGAGTAGTCGTGAACAAAACTCAACTTGCCCGTCCTTCACACGCCAAGTCGGCAAGGTTTGGCCAAGAAGGGCATTCCCACCTCTGGCCAAGCCCCAACGTGTTTAAAACACTGCGCGGTTTGGAAGTCTGCCATCTCTCAAAAAAAAACTCCAACTGAGCTGCAAACTCTTCCCCAGCAAGAAAACACTGACACAACTTACCTCAGATCAGAAATCTTGGGGCATCAGGCAGACTTGGCCTATTGACCTCTTGGACAGCACGATCTAATGCACCTTGCATCTGTTTCAACCTGCTAATTTTCTGTGATCCTTTTCAGTTTCTCTCCGGTGTGGGATTCTGGCATATGGTGCGCAAACTCCTTGAACATATCTTCTTGACATACAAGATACTTACCGTGGGGTAAACTAACAGTTTGCTATGGAAAATCATCATTTGGAATAGGTAAATCAACTGTTAATGAGCCAGTTTCAATAGCTATGTTAAATTACCAGAGGGTATACATGTGGTCAATGGGAATTCCAAAAAAAATGCCATATTTTGGTGGTATATCCCCTCAAACATAGCCCTAAAAAATAGGCCAAAAGTATATGGAATCGGTACCTCCAATGAATGGGTTCCTGGAATGGCCATTGATGTGCGGGTTTCTTACCCTCCGGTAAGTTAACATAGCTATTGAAAATTGCCATTTATAGTGAGTTTTCCCATTAAAAATTGTGATTTTCCATAGTTTTTTGTATGTATGTTTACCAGAGGGTAAGTCATGGGGGATCCCCAGTCGTCACCATGGCTTGAAAAAAACATCCTCCATAGGACCTGCGAAGACAGATCATCCAAGGCACAATGGATGCCATGACGATCGAGGCAACCACATCCTGAAGCCGTCCAGCCCTCCATGATATTATAAAACCATATTATATACACAAGATCACAAGGATAACCAATATGAGAATCTTGACAATTATGGTAAATCTATAATTATCTAGTCCAACCAATTTATGATAATTATATAAACGTGTTCTACACACATTACATAAATTTATATTAATTTCTGCAGACACAACATATTCGCATCTTATGTGAGTTTGTGTCTATGAGTATTTTAATTCTTAGGTAATTATCTCGAGAGCATTGGAAGCATTGAGCCCAAAGTGTGCGGGCAGAGTGGGACTTCATATTATAGCAAACCAGCAAACCAAACATGCAACAAACTGGCACACTATTTCTGGAATATCGAAGCACACAGCATACAGGTTTTTGTCATACCAATAAAATGCAACTAGTGTCCCGTAATTGTGTGCAAAAATGCAAAGAAAGTATGTGTCCATTTCATTCAGCTGGATCTTCTTTGTCTTGTTTCAATCATCCAGCGGGCTCTAAGGAAAAACTAGTAAAGACTGAACCATGCTGTTGATGCTGTACTGTACCCTCCAGCAATCCAACATAGCGATGGAACATGGACCATTTATAGATGACTTACCTCTTAAACTAGGTGTTAGTCATAGAATTAGTTATGTGAGTTTACCAGAGGCTATGGGGCAACAAGCCAGCCATTTAACGCGTTTCGGCAACAGTATGTGGCCAAGGCACAGGCAAGCCAGTCTGCATCTGGTATGAAACGCCCAAGCCTGTGGACAGGTCAAGGAAGCAAATCTGATTGCTGTTGTTTTTGTTTTCTATTTGATTCTTATTACACCCTGGTAAATTAACATAGACCCTGAAAATCACCAATTTTTAATGGAAACTAGTCTTCCAATCCCTATCTGCCAGGGTCTATGTTAATTTACCAGAGGGTATTCTTACAGTCTTGTTTTTGTTGGAGCCTGATTTTCTTATGTTTTTTCTTTTTCTTTCTGCTGTTCTTCTTCTTCTTGTTGGTGGTGGTCTTCCGTATCGCTCCTCTTTCCTCGCCGGAATTTCCGTTGCCAGAGGACAATTTGGCCAACTTCCCATCCGACCTATGAGACCAACCACAGAGGAGAGGACTCCGCTGCTGGCCTGCCCAAAGGACCATGGCAGGGATAGACCTTGGCCTGTTTCAGCATTGAATGTGTGAACCGTTTGTTTTCCAAGGAAGGATTCGTGTTTTTTTTTGTGTGCATGGAACTGATGACACCAATGCAGTCTCCGTCTCATGCCAAGCACATCTTATCGTTTGGCATCAATTGTAGGCGCACGGTCTTCAATGTACTCCTTCAAAGGACATGCACAATGTACACCTAGATTATGAATCATTATGAATCATGTGTGTATATAATTATATATATATATATTGTATCATATTTCTATTCTATTATATTACAATGAAATATATTGTTTTTTTACTATATTATACTATATTATATCATATCATATTATATCATATCAAATTAAATCAAATTATATTTGTCATATTATAGCATAGTATAGTGTATTATACTATATCACATTATACTATAGTATACATAGTGTACATAGTGTGTATAAATAAAAACCATACACATATAAAGTTGTTTGTCCGTTGTATACATATATATATATAGACTATGTATACATATATAAATATAACTGTATAATATATACATACAGTATAAATATATAACTATATGATATATATATATGATATACTATATATATATATGATATATAAAATATATATATGATATGATATATATATAATATGATATATGTGATATATTTGCTATATATTATATATATGATATCTATGATATTTATGTTTATGATATATGATATCTATGATATATATGATATATATGATATATAATATATATATATATGATATCTATGGTATATATATATATGATATATATATATATATGATATGTATATATATATCATATATATATATATATCGTATATGTGATATATATGATATATATGGTATATATGAAATATATGATATATATGATATATATAATCTATATAAACTATATAATGTATACATTATATAAGATATTATTGCGTATGTATCTGTATATCTTTGCACCTTAAAAGATGTATTTCTCTCCATGATAGAACAGCCTCTGTGAAGGTGGCAGTCGACATCACCTTTCACAGCCCAACACTGCAAAAGAGCCCTGGGAGTCCCCAGGTTTCCCCACGTGTTTCACATCAAAATGGCTGGTTAATGGATGATTAATGGATTAATTAATGTATGATTTATGGCTGGTTAACGGATGACTACAGGATCTTCATTGTATTACAGTAGTCTTCATTTCCCCATTTTTTTTCCCTTACGAATGGGAATACAGGAAATCACATTAAATAACATTCAGCAAATCAAAGCTACGTTCGTAATGCCAGGCTTGGGGATGGTAATGGATGGCTTCATCATCCCAGACAGATCCCGGAAAATCGGAGGGTGAGCGATCCTAACATCACTGGCCCTGGAATATGAATGATATATGTATAAATAATATACTATAGTTGTGCGTACATGTATTAAAATTATATATATAATATAATATTTATATATATATACATTATATAATACATATCGAGTAGTCATAGCAGGGTAATTCGGAGTTTCTTGGAATTAGAAGAAACTAAACAAAATTACAAGCAGTTTATGGTCCCGATTTCACACAGCTTGTAGATCATTGAAGGATATTGAAGGTGTACTGCACAGTGGACTGCCAAATCCGAGGGGACAACAACCAACATCAACAACACAATAACACAGTTGCCGCCAGCCATGGCCATTATGGCATGAGAAAAAAGATAAGTCCCCCCCAAATTCCTCTGGGCACTTTTCAGCACAGCTCCAGGGGTACAATTCAGTAGGCAGTTAGTGAACGAATCATCACTCATCATCAAAACTTTACCATCTGTTCATCAAATGTGGCAATCGAAATTCACCAGTTATAGCTGATTCTCCATGATTTTCCAATTTAACTATCCATTTGGGGATTTTCCAGCCACCTTTGATGACACGCGTCGAGTCATCCAGCGACTGGGTCTCCAACATCTCGCCCTTGGCCAAGGTATTTGAAAACCTGGCGAAATGTGGACACTGTCTGCCCCTGTTTGATGATCCAGTCAGTGAGTC